TCCTCCCACACTTTCTTCCTCCCTACTTCCCTGCCTCCCTTTCCTCTCACATTAAGAGTGCTGGGAAGCCCTGAATATCCAGACCATTCTAAATCCGTGAGGGCAAATATGATTTTACAAAAAATATTCTTCACAGCTACATGTTATAAAATATTTAACAACAATCTAAATTGAATAAGCAATAAATCACTTTTACATAAGAAAAACCGGGATAAATAGAGTTCACGAGGACGCTACATCAATATGAAAAAGAATAGCTTCCGCTGAACAACTACAACCACAAGCACACCCGGGTGTTAAACGATTCATGGAGCCTTTTCAAAGAAGCTGTGTATTTTGCGTCACGGCGATTTGAAGGGGATTTGAGAAATGACAGAGGCCGCGTATAACTAACATCCATTTCGTCCATTCTGTTATACATGTGTGCTTTTTTCCGTCAATATTTTCACAAAGATCTTAATTTGGCAGAATACCTTCCGATATCAGAACAAACTACAGAGATGCGGGTTTAACTGAATGACGGGACTTTTAATCCACTCGTAAGTGCTTCTTATCTCATTCACGAAAATTGAAAAGATATCTTTACCTCGAGAGGCATTTAATCTTATTACACGCATTATGAATTTACCACGAGTCTCTTCGTATACGAGGGGCGTTCAATAAGTAAGTATCCCCCCTTTCTAAAATCCATTAGAATGAACCAATTTTAAAAAACTTGGGTTCAAAATCTTCCTTAGGATATTTTGAGTTCAACGAAACAAACCGCAACAAAATCGGACCATGTGCGGCCGAACGCGAGCCGTTTGAACGCGCCGTTCAGATTTCAGGAACGGGAATAAATGGTGGTCTGGTTTGCTATTTATTATCGTATCTGAAATCTGAACTCGGAGGAGTTAATTTTGAATCAGTGGAAGAGGTCAAACAAGCCGTCCACTCTTTCATTCGCGGTCAGCTGAAAGACTTCCACGCACGAGGCATCCAAAAGCTGTTCTCTTAGTCTTAGTCTCAGTATCAGACTTGCTTGGATCGAGCTGGTTATGTGGAGAAGTGAGGTAAGCCCCTTATTCTACAAAAATTTCTTTGATTTTTCGTCAGTGATGAACGACTAAGGCTTTGGCAGAGAAGCTCTTCTCCTGTAGCGGACTTCAAATCCTCGCGGATTCGGCGGGAGCGTCGAGCACCTCGGCGCGTTCAAACGGCTCGCGTTCGGCCGCACATGGTCCGATTTTGTTGCGGTTTGTTTCGTTGAACTCAAAATATCCTAAGGAAGATTTTGAGCCCAAGTTTTTTAAAATTGGTTCATTCTAATGGATTTTAGAGAGGGGGGATACTTACTTATTGAACGCCCCTCGTATTAATTCATAGGGATGTGATATCCATTCAAGTTGTTCTCTACCCTCTAAAATTGATTGTGCTGTGTTTTAATCAATCAAAATTTATTTAGCTACAAATTTGCAACAAGAAAAAGAAGGAAACATGCACAAAAATGTAGCGTCACCTCATTTCTGGTTGTTGTCGTAAGCGGACAACTAGAAAGATCCTCCGAATAAAGTGCTTTAAATATTCAGGAGAACGAGTCTGTGTGAATTTAGCTATAGATAGAGGTATACCACTACAACCTTAATGACCCGCATAATATATCGGAACTGCTGAGGAACATGCACTACACGTGATGCACTTATTACTAACTGTGTGCTTTCATTTTTAGGATCATCTGTGATTATCATAAATCCTCTCCTTTCCTTCTCCAAAAATAGGATACGTTCATAGCTCTGGAAACCTAATATTAGGCTCCTATCGCGTTGTAAAATTCTCAACCCTGATAATCTGCGACTTGCACATGAGTGATTTTAACAAAAAGATTTCTTAGACAACAGGGTGAAAGAAGCCTCCAGTATATATTTCGGTGTTTTTCTGCAGATTTGCAATATTGTCCTTCAACTTTTCCTGCAGAGTCTTGAAAGCTAGGAAAAATAACACTAAATGACAAGGACATACGTTCATCACTAATAAATACTTACTAAAATGTCACCACATACCCTTTCTCTGTTAGTATCCTTGCTGTATTTGATTCCTGAAACATTCGGCTATGCCACTCATTTTGATAGCCAAAACGTACTGAAGGAAGATGATGCCCTGTTTCTGACTCCTTTCATCGAAGCCGGACATATCGCAGAAGCTCAGGAACTTGCAAGAGTTGACTCCATGATGAAACACGTAGAAAGTTTCGCCGGATTCTTGACCGTCAACAAAAGCACCAACTGTCGTTCCTATCGCCGGGCTTTACACTTTATCGCCATTGGCTATAAAAGGCTATAAAAAACTGTGTAGAAATTCGTGTGCTGTGGAAATCATTAAGTTTGATACGGAATATATACTTTATATTTACAAAACACACATTATATTTTCCTTTAAAACATTTTTTTTTTTCATCAATTAAAATGAGAATAATCCATGCAGAGTGTGCAAACATCTCAAAATCATGAGTTGAAAAACGCTGACTCCGCGAGATTAAATATTAGAGCCTAACACAAAGCGGAGCGGCGACGCACTGGCGCCTACAAACCTAGCAGGGATACTTCACGCATTGCGCAATGCGTGAAGTATCCCTTTTAGGTTTGTAGGCGCCAAATGCGCTTTTCGCGCTCTCTGCCCGCCCGCCGCGCCGCGCCGCAGCGTACGACGGCGTCTGAAGCAACTATTTCACACCAGAGGTATTGTACAGTAATATAAGAAATTGAAGGCGCTCCAACATATTAAGAATGACAGGCATCCTTCAAAAGTACGGAGCTTTCCTCGCAAAATAAATCAAGATACTACGGCACAAAAAGAGAGCGGTAGTCCAAAAACTAACTAAGTCCTTGTATCCGTATTTAGTAACGTTTAGCATAAACTTTATCGTCTGTTTGTTGCTTAATTGCCATGCGCCATCGGCTATAAAAGGCTATAAGAAATTGTACAGCTGGCTTTAGGTCTACAGTATTTTGGAACACACATTCTACTGCCAATTTTTACCAGGGTATCGATGGCTAAAAATGAAAAATGCGTGTATCCGATTGCGACGTTGTAACTCTCGAGTCTTGTTTTCTTTGAAAGCAAATAAGCAAACTATCTCCTTTAATTTTTTTGTGAATTTGTTTTACGCGTTCCAAATCACTTACGTAGAAAATTTCATAAAATATTTTGGTTTCTTATTTGTAAAGAAAGCAAAATATAGCCAGAGATTTTTAAATGTTGCGATTGAGCTATGCATTCTTCGATTTCAGACATCGATATTACACCGGCTACAGAAGCTATTGGAAATCTTACAGCCGGCTTTAGGTCTATGGTATTTTGGAACACACATTCTACTGCCAATTTTTACCAGGGTAGTCCAATTGAACGTCCTTGTATTAAGGAACAATATTCATTCTGACATGAGCCCTGAGATCCATAAGAATAAGAATGCATGCACGACAGGGATCATATTACAATGAATGTAGTACTTTCTGATTCAAATCGGTCCAATTTTGTTTTAAGATGATTCATCAAGCTCAAGTGACGTGGTTGAACTGGCACGCGATTTATCGCATCGATTAAGTAAAAAATCTCGGCAGATTTTGAGGTTTTAGCAAAAAAAAAGGACGATAGCCCCTGCGCATCATTCTAAACCCAAAACTTGGCAAAATTCAGAGAAATGAAAGCAGAATATTGTTTGGAAGAAAACCTCGCATTTGATTCAACTATCGATTTCTGTATCGAATGTGAGGTTTTTTTCCAAACACTATTCTGCTTTCATTTCTCTGAATTTTGCCGATTTTTAGGTTCAGAATGATTCTTTAGGCTAATGCGCAGGGGCTATCGTCCTTTTTTATGCTAAAAATTCAAAATCTGCAGAGATTTTTTACCTAATCGATGCGATATATCGCATGCCAGTTCGACCACGTTACTTGAGCTTGACGTTATGTAGTCGAGTGCCGAGAAAAAGTGGGCGAAAAAAACCCGGGAGAAAGAGGAGGGTTTTCTTCTTCTTCACCTTTTTTTTTTTGCGAAAAGGAAAAATCACGTGACAGAAATGATGGCGGTATAAACGTTCCGTTTTTCCGCCAAAGAAACGGCAAAGCAATAGTTATAGTGCAGCGCGCACGAGTAGAATTAGAGGGGGGGGGGGT